TAAGAAAGAACAAACCAGCTTCCAACTGAAGGGGAAATTAGGAAAAGACGACGGAACTGGGCAATACATACACTTCGGAAGCCATCAGTCTGGAGACAACTGAGAACGAATGCCCAGATTAATGCTGTTGGGCGCGGTACGCTCCTCAACGAAGGGTGATATGCGTAGGTAGTTGCGTACCGTCAAAACCAGCGGAACTGCTTACACCGAAACGTTTGGGTTCATGGCCGTAAGCACTAGCCTTAAGACAGATTTCATTCGTGTCCCGTCCTACAAATGACAGAAGTTCGGGGCCATATCACAACCTACTACATTAGCCACCGGTGTTTGAAGCCCACTTATCAAATACACAAGCAGTCTGCCCACCCATATCAATACAAAAAACTACAGCGAATACTATTTGTATCATACGTGCGGATTGTTAATTGGGAACCAAAAGAGTCAGTGTATGGAATACATTGCAATGATAAATCATAATCACTGGTGATATTACAAGTGGAAGTAACAACAAATAACAGTACTGCATACATTATGACAATAAACTTTTTGATAATTCGGGTCGATTTTATGAGATCCTTAAAGGAACCGATTTTTAACTCATGTGTTGAGGTTTCGTTCGCAACAGCCTGTTGTCTCTCAACTTGCACAAAATGAAGGTCTTGAAGTTAAATTTTACCTTGTACCAAACATTAGTTCATCCCGTTTTCATGTAAGAGACATCAAAGACATCTCACAATTTACAGTTGATATTCGGTTCATCAAAGGACACTCCAATGTTGTTATAGACGACTTGTAGCGTGGTGTCGAGTCGCGCTTGACTATGAACACCGCTACAAGAAGACTACGTGCCAATTAACCAATAAGATCCCCGTAGGCCAAAATCAGAAGGCAGATGATGGTTTCAGTCGAGATGTATTTGTTGGCTATCTCGTGGTATCGAAAGAATACTGAGATCGTGCCGACATTATTCTTGAAGGCAAAGCTAAATTGTAGGTAGACGATGCTGATTTGAAAACCTGAGGAGAAAAGTCTAAATTGGTCGTCAAAGATGTACCAATTGTAGTCTTCGATTTGTCCATCATCTGTGGTGTTTTGACTATTAACAACCATTCTTTTGTCTCTAAAGTTTTTCGGCGAAGGATGTTTTAACAAGTCCATGAACTATCACACTTTGGGATCTGAGGTACAGCAAAAATTCAAAATTGTCCGCGTCGATGTTATTTGAAAACCGTTAAAACAACTGCATAGACAACCCTGCCGCGTTGTCAAACGGAGAACTAAACACTTCACCACTGACAAAAATGGAAAGAGGCAAACTATTTCGGTAGATATAGCTAAACCTGCCTTCTACGATGACCAATAGGATGAAGAAAATCCAATTTCAGTTATTTCACCTCAGCCAATAACTAAGACCAAGCCAGAGAACAATGTGAACTAAGTAATATTAATCCATTCTCAACACGTTCAGTTAGGGCAATAAGTAATCCTAAACGCTATGTCCATTTTGTGGGTCTAAAAACAAATAAAATACAAAGCATATAATAAAACACTCAATCCAGTCAAGTTACTAAAGACAGCAATTTACTTTCTTCTCATATTGTATATATAATTATTTATATTTTTTGTCATAATTATAAATGAGCAAATTTCCCACTGCCATTCTTTAATTATTTAAAACACTTTTTCTTTGTGAATATACCAAGGATTTCCATATTTATTATGATTACCAATCTAAGACATCACTACCGGTTGCATTTTTTATTTTTCATAGTGCTCAACAGTATACACACAACTCCGTACACTAAAATATCACACCACCGACACGTATGTCATTTTTCGTAATATATACATCTATTAGCACAATATATATCCATCTTTTAAAATCAAGCTTGATTTTATGACCTATGGCATTAGGATACGTCTCTTTCATTTTGATGCTGCTGATCTGTAACTAGCTTTTCCTACCTTTCACTAACACGTTCTATCTGAAAGATCTTGAAATCCCTGAAAATCTGTCTAGGTCTGACCGTGTTCGAGATAGTCAGAATTGTGTTATGAGGGGGAACAAGTCCATAACTTTTGTAATCAATTTCTGTAAGAGAAGCCGGCAGAACTGCAGAAGCGCGTGATTGTTGTTAACTCTGACATCTGATATACGCATAGTGGGCATCCTCAGAGCCAATCACATAGGGCTATCATGTCTGCTCGTGCGGCTAGGTAGCCGTCCATAATTGGGAACATTTCTTCACGTAGATCACCATTTCACGCGTGTTAAGAATTAAACCAGACATTATGAAATTATAACATGTATTTCTCGACCAGTTGCTGCCGCCTTTTTGATTTATCTTTCATCTGATTAACATCCGGAGGATTCTCATTGTTCTGTTATTAACCTCAGGTGTGCAAAAATCCCAACAGATTTGGTATCGAACCAACGTCACGTTGGTTCCGTTGAGAGAGTAGTGTGGTGGTATTAATTCGTAACCACACGATTGTGCAAGCTGACTATTTAATCACTAAAAAATTCACTCTCAGCATGTAACATTAAGGGAGGGTCAAGAATGGTGAACACAGGAAAATCTATTCAACCGGATGGGATTACAGATGATATAAATTTAGGTACAAATATCGCTTGCAATCAGTTTTCCATTTTCATTCCGTAAGCTAAAACTGCTTGGTACAGGGTCGTTGGAATGCTTAGAGAGAACTCGTAGGGAATCACATCGAATATTGTACAATGTTGTGCGCCACCGATGATAGCAAAGACGAAAACGGGAATCGCTTTTACGAGAGGCTGCAGTCGATCATAACGAAGTGCTCAAGAAATGATATGATAAACCTGATGAACAAGCAAGTAAGCAAATATCACGGGACGATATGTACAAGGAGAAAAAATGAGTATGTTTAGAGATTCGTGGATTTTTGTGTATTCAACAGAATGTTTGTGGACAGCACTATATTCCCACACAAACGCATACAAAAGGCTTCATAGGTATCACCGAATCACGCCACATTACAAAGAGCCAGATCGATCATCCCGCGAGACGGGATCGCGGATGAGCACTGCTGAGGAGTCCCACTACAGGACGAAACAGCCGTTCAGTACTTCCAGGTTTTCCATAATGGTCTAGCTTTAATCGACTCATGACCTCGATTATTAAAATTACTACAGTATCCACAAAACCCCTTCTGAAATTAATCAACATATACTCACTAGTGACTGGCTTCAGGAGGTATTTCTTGGAGTTCTAGTGAGAAGCAGTGACCAGTGGAGTTCAACAGCGTTTGTTGTGAGATAGTAACTCGCTGAAGGCAATTGTGGATGTATCGCTCATTTTCGTGGACTAGTTGAAGTTAGAAAATAACACCGTTGAATCCTAATAAATACTTGAAACAGAAACCAATATTGGAATTCCCGAGGTTAATCTTATAGAATTACTTCTGAAATGTACAATGAATGTGCATTGTCTCTGATAACTTATATTATAGACAAATTGACGGTATAGCGATGGGCTGAATATAGGTCCTATCATTGAGAATAGTAAGAAACCTCTTCTACCAATTTGTATTTTTCACTCATTCTGTTTATGTAATCTATTCCACTGTTATAATTGACTCATAAACTGCCTTGATTGGTTTAACAATTTCGTGTATGTATATAAATATTACTGTATATTAGAGTAAAGCCTGATGAGGATCTAATCAAAAACAACATTTTGTTCTGAATTAGAATATAGGAATTTTTCGAATTATCCTATTTTGTTTGACAATTCTAAATTCATATGCTTTGAACAATGTACTTAGCCCTTAACCTGGCCATTTTTCGGATTATTAATTTGGATATATAATTGTGGGAATTTAAAGCCATTAGTCCCTTTGATAAATTTCGATAGTGTAATACGACGAGGATTATCAGAACTATGTGATATATTAGCGTAATGCATTTCGAACAATGTGATCACACATATACTTTTTAAGAACATTTATACGTAAAAATAAAAGGTCAACTAAACTAGAAATGGATAGCATGAAGAGACAAGGATAATAAATAAATATTAATAATAATGACCCAATAAGAGTAAAGGATAAACATCTATCATTCCCTATTACCAAACACATAATTGACCTGTTTAGTTCATGAGATTTATCTTAACTCGTATTTTGTCGTGTTGTACAAGTGTAAAAGGCAGTATACTAAGGTTCATGGGAGCCCAAGCCGTGCGAAAATTCAAACCCCCTCTGTGTATTCAAAAACAGTTTGTTCTCACCTTAAGCCTACCCTGGTAATATTAGCTTATTATTCAGAGTGATGAGGTTTCAAACTGTTTTCAAATTACTTATTTATTATGTCTCTTCTTACCCTCCATTTCTAGTCTAGTTGACCTTTTATTTTTATATATAAATGTTCTTAAAAAGTATGTGTGATCAGATTGTTCGAAATATACTGTGCTAATAAATCACATAGTTCTGATAATCTTCGTCTTTTTATTACATTATCGACAATTGTAGAACCTGAAGAGAATTTATCGGAAAGATTATTCTTCGTTCAAATATTAGTCTTTTAATATAATATGCACTTATTTCAAAGAGTAAATAACTGCATTGCACCAGTCTTCTGTATTCTTACTTTGTGAAGTGGGAATTACGATGGTTCTGAATGTCAGCTATAAGCATTAAAGTCGTGGTTACGAAGAGAGCACGGAGCTTTAAGCCAAGTACATTACAATCACAGTTGAAATCCAGTAGTCTATATTGTCTGATTCCATAGACTTATTGCACAACACGTTTTAATAACTTCATTGACACCCTATGGAGTCAGTTGAATAACATGAACATCACACAGATTTTCTCATTAATATTTACTGACCAACTGTCTTCTGTCTCGTTAACAATGAATTTCTCACTTAAATACTCATAAATTGCATGTTATAAGAATCCCTTCTATTTTAAAATCTCCATCATAACAGCACTAAGAAAGATGAGGTATCACAAGAATGATAATATCTGGATCCATATATTTGAAATACAGAGTTAACATGTAACAACTTTTAAACTTCAATCCGTAACCACATAACTACGGCAACTTTAAAATGCTTAAAATACCCAGTGTAAATTATAACAGTATTGTTGTTAGTTAGATCAGGCTTAAATTCAATATACAGTAATATTTAGATACATATATCAAGCAGTCAAGGCAGTTCATGAGCTCAAGTATAAAGGACAAATTTATAGTATGACAGGAATACTAGTTGTTACATTAATAATAAAATCAATACATCCGATCTACAAAGATGTTTTGATCAGAATTAGTTTTTTGCAATTTTACGTATTAAGAGTATTTAGTGCATTGCTAAACGAGTTATTGTACTCAACTACAATCCATATTAAGTGCATAAGTAGAGCAAAAACAACGTATTCATACAAGTTAAAAAGTCAAAGTGCATAAGACAAACAACCTCACTATTATGCTAACATTATAAATATATGTATGATGAAGCACTACTAATAACTCATTGTTAAATCCTTATCAGACGTATCAAATATACACTATAAATTTGGGATCTTTATTTCAAAAGAAATATGAACAACTCAATACTAATTACACTAATTACAATACTAATTTATTCTCAAAGAATTAATGCAGGTACTGACTATAAAAAACGTCGACAAATGGATGGTGTTGGTTTGCGGACTACTATGAATCATTTTAAAACTTATGATGAAATTCTCAAACATCCTTTTGATTTTAATTTACACGGAGATGACTTGAAAATCTATGATGACTTCCTAAAATATATTATTGATGGGTGTCTGGATCCCGACAAATGGTTTGAATCTATCATATAACAGGCCCTGCATGATTTAGTGGTTGGAAGTAGCCATCTTTTCTATTCAATTCATCGTATTAACTATTTCCATATTACCAAAACAGAAAAAGCAAAGCAAAATGATGAGTAAACCGGATTAAAATGGTTACTTTTCCTTGTAAACCGTATCTACTGGTATTAATATTCTGTAACTTTGATGATAAATTATCAAGTATGCACTAAATTAACAAACGACTTAATTCAATACCATACTTCAGACGGATGCATTATCAAATTTATTTTAAGTGTTAATATAATTTATGAGTAATCAAACCCACATGCTCGATCATTAGGTAAGACTTAATAACAATAAGACTTGCTAATAACAAACACTTTATATTAACCTAAGGGGGGTTGCGCACGGAACTTCACTGATTAGACCTTGAACAATGCATCCATCCCTTGATACATAAATCAACATCTTATCTGTATCACAGTTTACCGAAGTCAGTGCTCTCAAACCTATGATCAATTATTCTTGGTTTAACTGTGATATACAGATTAGTATTAAGATGGGAAATGATAAAGTTGATGGTGGTTTATAGCCTACAAGCGCTACATTGAATTTTATACGACAGTGGTCAAGTATTTGCCCAGCATGGATACAATATGCAGAGCGTTCTGGTAGTGCCAAGATTGTTGATATTGCAAAAAGTGGAACGTCATGGCGTCGGATATCTAAGGTAAAAGTCAAATACAAATGAGGAGAAAATCTACTTAAACTACAGTTATTGAGGCTGGTAGTGTGTTCCAAACGTCCTCATCATTGTTACTGACGAAGTAGTATATCTTCTCAAAAGCGGTTTGAGGTTGAAGGCTAGTAAATTTTCAGTAAAAATACACACGATACTCATGCAAATATTTAATCGGGTTTATTTAGATACTAGTTTCAAATAATATGACTCATTAAAAGACAGCAACATAGTATTGTTGAGAACAGTTTCATGCGGGTGGATTCCTTACAAGACAAACGCTACCAAAAACGAACTCATAACATTCGGACAATTTATATCAGCCATAAAACATTTAGTTACTAGTTATGAAGGATAGACAAGAACGTTTTATACACTAGGCGACCCCGATATCAAATCCTGCTCAGAAGACAATGTACGAGACGGAGTTATCTCCAGTGAATTACTCGTCTTGCCAAAATCACGGAAAGCTTACACTCGCCTGGACGAGTATAATATAAGGTAAACTATGTGTCTATGCTTATGCGACCGTTGGCAGCAAATCATTACACTTGCTATGTACGGATGGTCGGACAGATACTAGGAAGTGTGTACTATGACTGAGTTAAACAGGACAAGACATACGTGTGTTTTTTCATAAAACTAAGATGGATTTTGGAACCGAATACATACAAACAACAGCAAGCATTGGGATGAGACTGACGTATATTTAAATGCTGTAAGTTCACAAACTACAATAATGTTATTACATAACATAATGGTGTATGTAGGGCAACACTAACTAAATAATAAGTGGATATATAAAAAATAAAAATATTGAAAAAGATGTTTGAAAAAACACTTATCTCCATCAACAATTATTTAAATATTTGAACACAAACATTGGTACAAAGGGGCACTAAATACATACGCACCACACGATAACAATGAGGTTGTGAAGAGATAAATAATATAAAGTGCGTATAATAAAAACAACAAACAGAAATTAGTGCATGAACAAAATACTACCACTAATAATAGTGAGGGAAGCAGTTTGGTTAGTAAAAATACAACCAGAATTCATTCAGACGGTACGTTTACTTTTAATTGTTATTAATTTGTGTGCGGACTGAGATACCGCCCGGGTATCCGAACAGAGACAGCTAATTTTCTTAGGGGGGCTCGACCCGAGTCTTTGACCAAAAGGTCTGATCCACAAGACAGTGGAGCGACGTCAGGAAATACAGCCCCATAGTAGTCGGTGGCCAACAAAAGGTTCATACTCAACTTGTCCCATCGGAGTACTGGAACCATGTGCATCATTGATCTGGAATTAGGGTTTTCCAGGCCCCTAGGTGGGTCCTCCGTACCCACCAACCCGGTTAATGAACCGGACATTCGCTTTTCGTTCTCTCAACTAAGCAGACAACACCCCTGCCACGAGAAGGCAGTGAGTAGGACTTTCTTGACTTTTGTAAATCGAAGTGAGTGAGATGCCAGATATCTGATATCCACTTTCAATACACAGTTCGCTAGGCGTTCGGAGATAGCCCTGGCAAAGAATTAGTAGTTTTGAAAAATGTACTGTCCAGGTTTTTAAGGAACATTAGACTAAGTTCTCATAATTTTTGACATATGGAAACAAAATGCATTTGCTTATCAGAACCAAATATCACATGGAACTTTTGGGTTCAGTACCGATCGAACATATATGGTGGAAATCTGTTGGCTAATTATTTTTCTTAGTAATCTTCAAATTGCCTTGCTCACTGGAATCAGAACTCTTTCGTACTGCATCCGAATGTTTAGAACTGGATGCATAGTATTAATCCCAAGACAAAGCTTATTAAACTTCATTAACAATCGAGGTTTAATAACCACTAAAATATGTATACAGCTGATCTCGACTTTTGGTGATTGAAGCTCAATGTTTTTTCCCTGAAAAGTATTTCAAACGAATCGTTAGTTATGAAAGACCTATCAGCGTTTCCCAATGTTTTGAGCCGAAGTTACCACTAATGCTTGCATATAACCTCATGAAGGCCGGGTGTATAACAACTCATAGGATCTCCACGCTAATATGCTCATTCATTTCACCGTGAATAGATCAATGTCAAGTCCGATTCACTTGATGTAAATATAAAGGGCATTGGCTGTCCTGCGAAAGTATGAATTAACATTAGTAAGTCAGGTATTTTGAACTTCAGTCATAATATTATCCGAGCTATTGCGAAGTGATATTATTTGATGACTCATCACTTCTGAAACAATAGACTATTCCAACATTCGAATTAAATACAATGCTAAAGCTACTAAGATCCACCGAGAAAACACGAACATGGTAAGACCAGCGCATTTACTTGTGGTCAACTTGCTTTTGCTGCTGTGATGAAAAGCACATAGTAGTAAAATTTGGACCAACTGAAGCAAAAGCTGACCGACTGAAAATCTAATCTCACGTGTTTCTGTATTCGAGTAAGTTTGTACGACATAAATAATAAGAAGTAGTAGATAGAAAGTTATTGTTTACAAACATCATAGTACAATAAATATATGCTTGCAACATAGTTTATCCACGAGATCAATTTTCTGTTGCAATAGGGCACCGATGATAGACTAACAAGATAAACAAGCACATGCAAATATAACAAGTATTAGGATAGTTGAATACATGTTAGAAATTATGCAAACCCAAACGAAACATAGAATCGGTGATGAGGAAACAATTGTTGAATTTGCGAAGGAAAAACACTTCGCAAAATGGTAGTACCTGATCTTCATCACACTAAAAAAAGATAAAAATACAGGGAGATGCGAGTAGCGTAGACTTTATCTAAAAACAATTGTGTGGGAAGTTGGACTCAGCAAACAACTACAACCAGACAAAGCAAAAAACCATAGGGACACTTCTAAGATTAGTATGCGGTTTTGTTCGTGGTGACCTATTGAGACCTTATTCGACATAATGCCTTTCAGGACACAAATCTGAGTACAGGTAGAATTTGGTTAGCAATGACGGAAAACTAAAATCCTGTCTGAATAATTTGAATAGAAATTCTGAACACTCTTGAATCTCTTCAGTCATCCCACACTTGATTTGCTAAAACTAGACGAAAGGTATCTCTTTAAAAGATAAGTCACAATCGCGGTGCCTAAAATTTAGCTTACTAGATATATGTTAAGGCATATAAGCAAACTTGATTCAGATACACAACATTTGATCTGAACCCCAATGAGCTGGTGCAAGAGGTTATGAAAGTCAAAGTTTGAATTAAAGATAACTTCTGTCTACTTGTTTATAAGTAATACGGTGAAAGGGCATAGAAAAATACAAACAAGTTACCAGTTATAGGCTTAATAAGAACGGTAAAGACCTAAACCAGATGTTAGTTAAAGAGCGACAATCTGGTAAGTAAATTAGTTCATTATTATTTATATTTGGACACACAGATATTGGTACAAGGAGGCATCAAACACATATGCGCACACAAATCTCATTTGATTTGTGTGAGGGCTGTGATACTGCCCGGGTGCCCAAACCGAAGTAGGTGGTTTTCTTAGGAGGCCACACCCCGAGCCTTCGACTCAAAGGTCTGATCCACAAGGCAGTGGAGCATCGTAAGGATATGCAGTCCTGTGGTAGCCAGTGACCAACGATTGGTTTGTACGCCATTTGTTCCCTCGGGATACTGGAGCCCATACGCACCATTGGCTTGGAATCAGAGTTTTACAACTCCTCTGCGTGAATCCTCCATGTCCACCAACGCGGTTAAAATGCCGGACATTCGCTTTTCGTCACTTCAATTCCGTAAACAACACCCCCGACACGAGATGGTGGTGAGTAGGATTTATCTGGCAGAGACTATATACGCGTGATCATGTGTGAGTATTTCGAGAGGGTGAGTGGACTCTCTCCACTCTCGGGCGTACCAGGGCATTTGGAGGCGGAATTTAGTTTGGATGATCGAAATGGCTTGTAAAAAGGAACATTAGGGATGAGAAATTCCATTACATGACCACTCGTTCTAGGTCGACTATTGCTGATATTTCTGACAAGCTTTCAGAATATTAGTGACAGGAACAATATCTCGTTACATGAACACCGGTGTGGCTATAATTTATGGACGAGTCAGTCACACAATAACCGGTCTTAGGTTTTTGGCGCTAAATTGTTCATCTATTTGTTAAAGGGCATTTTATCTGATGTTAGTTCGTGATAAAAACCTTAAACCTAACCATCAACTGTGATTGATAGTTCTAACGGACACCCACATCTGGACGTGTTGCGATAACGCAAAGGTGATAGATCATAATCCTTAACACTGATGATCCTTAACTATCGGTCTCTATCAACTTGATGGCTCCAACTAGTTTTTATTTAAACAACTTCCGGTAAGTCAACTTCAATCCAACTACTTAGAAAACTACTATGGGTAACACCCTCGATTAGCTTAGACGGGATATCTATCAGTAACATATTATTGGACTGTCCTGATAGACTTGGTTTTGATAACCGGTCAACTCTTGTTAATTAAGAAATCGTTTACCACTATTATAATTTTTTCGATGAAAATAGAACTAATGGTATATTGAGAACATTTATGAATAAGCATGTCACACAGACCTCGTGTAGGCTAAGTGTACTCATGACGCACAGTTCAGGAAGAAAACTGGACATTATGAACATTTGTAGACCTTTACACATATACTTGTATTGTTCTTGCTAGTTCAAGCATTCTGTAACACATATTAAGCCAACAAATGCTATTCAAGCTTCGAACGAATATATCAAGTTAAAGGGTGTGGGAAAAGTATGACTTCTTACCTGAACTTGTCCACAGACAAAGATAAGAACAGAATTTTCATTCGGATGAACATCAACACTAGTTATACCCACCTGAATTTTATTAGCAGGAAGAGACTCAAAAATACTATTTGAATCCCCAGAAAACTTACAAGAAACTTCTCACCAATTTTATCTTGACCTACTAACACATCACCTTCATATGTCATCCTTGCTTGGCTCTATAACAAACATTTAAATGAATGGACCAACTACGTGATAAAAAAGTTTGAGAGAGCTTCTATCTCGCTGCATAGTATCGTAGTACTCCATAACGAAACTTTCACCTATCTGTCGATAGTTTTCAGGATAAAGCGAGTGGTTCAACATAGCTACCGTGTCGAATAATCGGAATATGACGCGGGCTTGAAGTAGTGTAAAACTCTATATTCAATATCCAATATCATAGTAATAGGCTAGCATTTAATATTTGACTTTTTGCTCTCATTTAATGGTGTCACGTAGTTTTTCAGCACATTTTATTTGCCTTTAGAAAATCACAAAGGGCAACCGCGCTTTTTTATCGAATGATTCAAATCGTTCACGACGAGTAGAAGGCTTCGCATTATTGGCTTCCTAATCTAGTGGCCGTGGACCACCGAAGTCGCCACGTAAGAACCTAAGAAAATGCAGCAAAAAAATGTTTTAGCGAAATACTCTTCTGAATCATCAAGAACATGTCAAGTTATTTCACAAAGGACTCCTCTAAAGACCCTTCGACTAGATCAGCCGCCAGGGAATTCAGGAATTCACCTATTCGCAAAGAGTAGAAGATATGCCCACACTCCGTTGAGCTATGGCTTACCTTCGAGTTTAAAGTTCGACCCCTAAGATTGGTGTTGGGATTGGGGTTTAGTGGGAGTTTAATAGGATGTTCAGGAGTGTTTAGGATTCTGTAAGTCATTAGAAGTTCACATCAAAGTCACTGGTAGTCTAATGAGTAAGTGTTTAGTGAATCGAGAAACTCTCCTAAAGACTTGAAGTTAGGTCTTCTAACTGATTTCCTGGTTCGCCTTTGAACACGTTCTAATGAATTCTTATCTATTTGAAGGGAGGTAGGAAACATTGAATTTTCATACTCTGGATGAGGTTGAACATTGTAGCGGTACATAAATCCCCAAAATAAATAGCTCTGTAAATTTTCGACATTGGATGCTGACCACATTAGTTTTAATGGGCTCATCTACCTGAAGGCGCTCGGTCATGCATCCACACCAGATCACGTGTGAGAACGCCGTGCTCAACATCTACTTCAATCGCTAGCCAGATTAAATCAGACGATCCTCAATATATTGATAGCCTATCAAATATATCTTCTAACCTCTTCGCTTCTGTCTTTTGATTTCACTTGATGGGTACGCTTCATATTAAATATTACTGGTTAAAGCGTTGTCAAACTCCGAAAGCCTGTGGCATCTTCCATTCCGAGTGGAAAGTACCATATCCTGACTGACCGAAAATGAACTTCAACGTAATCGGTGCGAAGTTTTCAAGAGGATATAATTGTTAGCGTAAGACATCGTATAATAGAGCGTCAAAACTGCCTGATATTTTTCAATTTACTTACTGTCACCTGTTACTCCCAATTGAGCATAGGCCGCCGACCAGCATTCACCAACCTACTCTGTCCTGAGCTTTTCATTTTAGTTCTATCCAATTCTTATCCATTTTTCTCATGTCTATCTCTATTTCCCGGCGTAATGTATTCTTTGGTTTTCCTCTTTTCCTTTGGCCTTGATGATCCCAAGTGAGGGCTTGCCTTGTGACGCAGTCACGTGCTTTCCTCAATGTGTGTCCTATCCACTTTCAGCGCTTCTTCTTGATTTCTTCCTCCGTTGGGCTCTGATTTGTTCTCTCCCACAGTAGGTTGTTGCTGACAATGTCTTGCCAACAGATCCGAAGTATTTTGCGCAGGCAACTGTTAATAAACATTTGTATCTTCTGGATAATGGCTTTCGTAGTTCTTCAGGTTTCCGCCCCATATAGTAGAACTTTCTTGACATTTGTATTGAAAATTCTAACCTTGGTGTTGGTTGACAGTTGTTTTGAGTTCCAGATGTTCTTCAGTTGTAGATATGCTGCTCTTGCTTTGCTGATCCGCGCCTTCACATCTACATCAGATCTACATTGTTCATCAATGATGCTGCCCAGATATGTAAAGGATTTTACGTCTTCCAAATCTTCTCCGTCAAGCGTGATTTGGTTGGTGCATTCTGTATTGTAACGGAGAATCTTGCCTTTTCTTTTGTGTGTGTTAAGACCTACTGCTGCTACACTGGTCGTCTTCTCCTGCACTTGTTGTTGCGTGTGCGACAGAAGAGCCAGATGATCTGCGAAGTCTAGATCGTCCAGCTGTATCCTAGCTGTCAACTGCATCCTGTGCTTCCCCCAGATGTTGACGTTTTCATAATCCAGTCAATCACCAGGAGAAAGAGAAAGGGTGAGAGCAAGCAACCTTGCCTGACACCGGTCTTTACTTCGAACGAGTCTGTCGGCTGTCCTCCATGCACAACTTCGCAGTTTAATCGAACATAGGAATTCCGTACTATATTGGCCATCATCTCAGGTAGGCCGTAGTGTCGAAGGACGACAGATCCATACGGAATCGAGCCTGTTGGTCTCAAAGTTGGGCGTCTTCGGAGTCCTTCATTCTGTTTAACAATACCCTATTGAAGACTTTTCATGGTATTGAGAGAAGAGTAATGCATCTGTAGTTCTCACGGTTGCTGAGATCGCCCTTCTTTGGTATGCTGATCAGGCGTCCCTCTTTCCAGTTTGTTGGTGCTTGTTCTTCATCCCAAATCTTGTTGGAGAGAATGTGGAATGTCTTCGCAGTTACTGCTACGTCTGCTTTCAATGCCTCTGCTGAAATGTTGTCTGGTCCTGCTGCTTTGCCACTTTTGATTTGTCTGATGGCCTTGCTGATCTCTTCAATTGTTGGTGGGCCAACATCGATTTGGATGTCCGTGGGTGCTTCTTCGACGTAGGGTGGGTTCAATGGAGCTGGTCGATTCAAGAGTTCCTTAAAGTGTTCTACCCACCTGTTTCGCTTTTCTTCACTGTTGGTGATTACCTTGCCTTCTTTGCTTCTCACTGGTCGTTCTGGTTTACAATAATTTCCAGACAGTTTCTTTGTTGCATCATACAATTGCATCATATTTCCTTCTCTTGCAGACCTTGCCACCGTCATTGACAGATCTTTAACATATTTACGTTCGTCAGTCCTGATTCTTCTTGTGGCCCAGAACCTCATGACATGTTGAAGTGATTGCCTCTTTTATCTCTTTCCAGTTGCTCTCCATAGTAGTTCCTTCTCCACTGAGTAGATCGTGAAGGGCCTAGGATCTATTGCTGAGGACTAGCCTGAATTTGTTGAGTTTGACAGTATCCCGAAGAAAGGCCGTATTAAACTTTCGTGATGTTATCCGCCCCGTTGTCCAGTGCTTCTTGAGTTTCAGCTTCATCTTGGCAACCGGAAAATGAGGATCTGATAGTATATCAGCTCCTCATTTGGTCCTCACACCCTCCATAGTCCTCCTGGACATTTTGTCGATTTGGTTCTGCGTAGTGTGATCTGGAGAAGTCCATGTGGTTTTGTGTATGCGTTTATGTGGGAATATGGTGTCGCTTATGACCAGTTTGTCGAAGGCACAGAGGTTTGCAAATCTCTCACCGTTTTTTTTCCTTTCTCCCAGTCCCATGATGTCTTCATATCCACATTGTCCATTCCGACCAAGGCATTCAGGTTTCTCATCAGGATGGTCAGGTTCTTTGTTGAGCACTTCTCGACGATTAACTGCAGCCTATCATAGGATTTGTTTTTAACGTCTTGATTGTATTCGTTGGTTGGCTCATTCTCCAATTAGATATACCTCTAAAGAGGAACTACCCAAGTTAAATGCATGGACTACAGCATGTCTCAGATGGACTAATTTCCAGTGTGAATTGCCGAACTAGGTCCGATGTTGTCCGCTCAACTTTGAAGTCGAGTCAGATCTTTTTGAAGTGCCAGATTGTCAACTTGTTCCCGAACTTTCCAACCTCACAATTTCGGGGAAATACTGACTTATTTTAGTGAAGCCGCTAAAGAGAGAGGGCAATCAAACCTCAAAATTTTCTCTAAGTTTCCCCGGAATCTAATTATACTTTGGGGAAATCGGCCTGCATTTATTGATAAAAACTCATATTTTTCACAATTTTGAGTAGACTCCGCGTATTCTTCCAAAATTCCCTTAAAGCTTAGGTTTTTCTTCAGACTTTGGGGAAGGAATTTTGAGTTTGTGGTTCATATCCGAAATTTCCCCAAACGTGTGAGATCGGGTTCTTTCCAGAGTTTCCCACGACCAGCGAAAATAATGAATCAGACGATACTTATTGAGGAAGACCATTTATGCAAACTATGAAGAGAAGAGCTCTTAATACTGAACCCTGAGAGACTTTAGTGTAATATTCTGTAGCCTGAGTAAAAGCGGAGTTTACTCTGACTCTGAAAGATTTATTATTTAAGTATCAAAAAGGAGTCACATGAGACACAACCGTTTGAACTTATTGATGGGATATATATGACTGACCTTTTCAAAAGGGTTTTAGAAGCCAAGGTATGCGTTATCAACTATCTTCTTGTGATCGAGGATGGTTGTCCATCTGTCCATCGCAGTCAGCAGTCTGGTTATACAAGAATGACACTTTCTGAAACCGTGTTGTTAAGGTGAAAAGTATTTTTGGATGATAGGTAGTCACATACGCCAACGCATAATATGGTCTTTTAGATCTTTGGGGGTAGTGAGATGCGTTCTGTAGACTGAAGGTTCTCTGCTTCGACCTCCTTTGAAAATTGGTGTGACGTCCGCTAGACTCCAATTTTCTGAAACCGTGATTCGACCAAGCAACTGTGAGAATATTATATTAAGTGGTTTTTCTAAGATTGAAGCCGTTTTTCTCGGTGAAACAGAGTGAACCATATCATCCAAAAACCAGCCATCTCAACTGATTAAGTTTCACTACTTCCTCAATCGATTTGCCGTCCTTACCTAGTACCCGTTTCATAACAACTGCATTACTTACTCGGTGGTCCCAGGATATACGAGCGATGTTTCGAAGACACCTATGGTCAAATACTAGTAACCTACGAATATCCTCTACTCTTACGGGCCATGTTTCACTGCCATAAAGTAGGACGGAACGAACTGCTGCTCAGTAAACTCGTCCTTTGGTTGATAGACGGATATATCGCCTACGCCACAAATGACGCAAATTGGCAAAAGCTAGTCGAGCCTTTTGTATCCGTGCTGAGATTTCGTCACACACCAAACCACAAGGGCGGATGAGACTACCGAGATAAGTGAAGCGGTCGATACGCTCAAATACTTTACTCCCGATCACTAATTCAGGTGTCGATGCAACCCAATCCTGAAGTAACATTTTGCATTTCGAGGGAGAAAACCGCATGCCGAACATGCTTGCATTGTTGCTTAGAGTGGTCAGCAGACTCTGCATTCTGTCAGCGTCTTCACTAAATAGAACTATGTCATCGGCATATTCTAAGTCAACAAGTGGATCTCCCGGTAGAAGTTCAAGCCCTGGAAATTTAGATGAGGAAAGTGTCATCTCTAAAAGCACGTCAACGACAAAGTTAAACAAGAATGGAGAGAGTGGACAGCCTTGACGAACACAACTTGACGTAATCAATTCTGATGACAGTTCACCATAAGCTCTCACTCGACCAGTTGTGTTCGAGTAGAGAGCCTTAATAAGGTTGATGTACTTCTTTGGTACTCCCTTCAGTGACAAACACTGCCATAGAACCTCACGATCAACAGAGTCCAATGCCGCCTTAAGGTCGAGAAATACGACTATTGTGGGGCGGCTGAATGTGTGTCTATGTTCTAGGACCTGACGTAGTGTGAATATCTGGTCTATACAACCACGTCCATGTCGAAAACCAGCCTGGTTTTCTCTAGTCTGCTCTTCACGAGCTTTGGTTAGACGTCGAAGTAATATTGAAGCTAATATTTTAGACACTATATTAGTAAAACTAATACCTCTGTGATTGTTACAAGACTTTTGTCTTTTCTTATAGACTAGCACAATCAGTGATTGAGACCAGTCAGATGGGATTACGTCCAGTTCCCAGATTCTACTTAAGACCTCAGTCAATCTCGCTGCTAATACTGGATTACCTACTTGAGCATTAAAGTCAACAGCCACTATTACTACATCTGAACGCCTAGCTTTTCGGAGGTCGGAAAGCTTTCTGTAAAACTCATCTTTTACATTATCAGAGCTGCAGTCAGTGGGAGAGTAGGCGGAGACGACGAAGAGGCAACGACGAGTGTCCCTATCTTTCCAAGTCCTTACTGTTCTGTTTAGTCGGACAGCGCACAAACGACTGTCTACTGGGATCCAGTCTAAGAGAGTTAGTTCTGCCCTAGGACTCAATGCTAAACCTACACCAACGAGGCCACGGGAAGCAGCATCAGGGCTTCCAGATACACGAATCGTAAATCGGGTTGGTTCGTTACTTTGACATTGTGAGGTCAAATGAATGACACTACTCGGATCCTGTGTGCGCGTTTCGGAGACGCAGCACACATCGACGGAGCGAGATTCTAAAGTCCTAGCTAAGGAGGCCTGTTGTCCTATTTGGCACAGTGTTCGGACGTTGAAAGCTTCTACGTGTAGTTTGGAGCGTGGTTTCAGGAGACCATGAATAACGTTCCGCGTACTCAAATCGTTCGCACTAGCGGTGCCATGTGATAAAGGGACGTAAGAAGGGTTAGTCGTGGAGATAAGAGTTATCAGGAGGTGTAGGAGGGATTTGAATGTGACCAACTTGGTCTCGTATGCTGTTACGGGTATGAGGGCTGATATCACTTCCCGGTTGCCCACACCGTGGAAGGGTAATTCTTGAGGAACCTGAAAAGGAAATCGGATTAGTGTTGGTCTTAACGACCTGAGTGCGTGACCGCAGAGCCCAAGGGACAACTGTTTGAGGCCGGTCTCGCACGGCCTTTTTGTGGGAGGTTTTTAATGTGTTAGCTTCGTTCTTCAAAGGGCCTTAACGCCGGAGACGGAAATCCGAGGGGTAAGGTGAGGTGTGACATTTTTAGGGTCAACCTTTTCTAATCCCTTCCTTCCTTGTGAGGAGGCAGCATCGCTGCAGATGCTGGTTGTCCGAGGGAAACACCTTACTGCTGTCACACCTCTGTACAGTCAGCAGTACGACTTCGCCCTCAGACCTTGAGTTGCTGCTTTTAGTCTTACCGTTCTCCAATCGACCTGCCTGGCATGGTAGAACCTGCAGGAACATGTGTTCCAGCCAATATAGCTCGGTTGGGTCATCACGATAGGCAAGCCCGACCACCACGTCAAGGTAGCAGCTAAGGTCGGGAACGACGACTTGATAACAGTGCACTACAACCAGCTAAAACCGGATCGGACGACGTTTTCCTCCGATGTTCAGTTGGCTGACCCACCGCCGGCCACGAGATTTTATGAGGTTCCATCTGAAGGAGGGTCAGCATATCCATGCTCCAGACCAGCCGTTGCTATTTTTGCTTCCTCATCATCTAGGTAAGATAAGAGGTATTCAAAGTTTTCTGTCGTCGGAATTCTACACAGATGTGCCATTATTCTGATTTTACAGGTAGCATAATCTGATGAAGTTTCCAGTAGTTGGCCAGTGGTTGCACCGGTTGCTACTTTGACTGGGATCACCGGAAGTTCATCATCGATTCCATTACGCTTTACCGTAGTCACCTCAATCACCAGGTACAGCACGTAGTATTAGCGTTTACTTGGAATCACGTGTGATCATGCAACAAATCACAGGGTTAAAATCTTGACGTTTTGGGTACAAAAAGGAGAAACTTATCACAAAACAGTTTTATCCATCGTTCTGAGTGTTCAGCCTCCGTGGGGCTTGTTCCTCTTTTTCCAGTGCATTTACTATTTTCGGCCCTGAAATAAGAAAAAGAGGTTCACGTTAGTAAGTCATATGTAATGATTTTTGATACTGTTACATGTATTGTATCTGGAATTTGAAATCAGTTTCTACGAAAATGAATAAGAGTTCAGGTAATTGGAGGGTAGAGTGTTAACGATTCGCTAGGAGTATATGTCACTTCAGACACAAGATTTCTAGGTTTTTCAGTCCCATTAAGATTATACTCAACGGAAGAGTAGTAGCTAGATTGTTCCGGTTGTTAACAACTTAATGCGATGCTTGGTTAACCCACAATCGTTCGACGTAAAAATTCCCGAGTTTAGTGCTCCGAAACCCAAGAGAACAATAATTAACCCATTTAGAAATGATCATTTCAAATGGTGGTTGTACGTATATAGTCTGACTAAATTGGATTAAATCAAGCTTAAACCTAGGCCGTATGAAGATAATAGTACAACTTGACAAAGTCTTTTTCACGGTAAATTAGCCACCATGTGAGACACACAAAATACTCAGAAGGTTGAATTAGAACACATCTTAGCACTCCACAAAGGACCATTGTTAGATTATATTATCAGATTACATGATGCACAAACCCAAAAATAGCTACCGAAGTGATTAATACCATTAAAACTGAGCGGCCTGACTACATCCACTAGATATTACCAGATACTTGGAATGGAACCGGAAGAAGTAAGCGCAAATGAATCGACCGCTGTAAACAAGCCATTCACAAAAATATCGGATAATGAAACCGCGCTGAAAACGAGTAGTGATGTTGTAACAGCGTTAAAATCATCATGTATGTGGTGTTAATAGATTCTATTTTCTTTCTATTGCAGGACGAACAAGAATAAATGCTTTAGAAGAAGAAGAGCAAGCTCTACATGCACTGAGGCTACAGGACGACTCATAAGACTATTTGTAAACTAACGCCCCCCCCTTCTGTACACTTCCGCGAATTTTAATTTTGAAATAATAAATCACTGGTGGTTCCATTCCGTGTTCTCCCTGTGTTGTGAAGTGCTCAGTTAACCTTGTGTGTTTGTGGTTTAGATCTTTCAGCTCGCTTTAGTGACTGCTGAATACACGAGTTACAATGTCTGTCCGCTTATATCTCTCAAGATTGTCATGTTTTCGACATTTCGTCCATACTTCAAGAAAAATACAATGTAAGGTCAATTTCAAAGCCTCATATGTTTAGTTCCGGTACATATAAAAATGCCTTCTTTGTCCCCAACCATGTCTGAGGGCTCAATCATCAACTGGGTTAAGAATGAAGGTACTTAATATTTATTTAGCAATATACATTATTTTGACAAGGAGAGCAGGTAGCTGCTGGAGATATCCTCTGCGAAGTTCAGACGGACAAAGCCGTTATTGCATTTGAATCAGAAGAGGAAGGTGTACTTGCCAAAATATTGGTATTTTGTTTTACATTATTCATTATTTGCACAATGACCTTTTTCATTCACTGTGTACTGTCGATCGTACTTCTACTTGTTTATCTTTGGACAGTTCCAGACTTCTTGTGTAGGCTAAATGTCCATTTTTTGGTGGAACGTACTTCCACACTTAATGCTGCATTTTAGTGTTAGATTTTCCTGAGTTTCATTCAGTTGGTAATTTCTCATATTAAGTGATTTCGTAGTTATGTTCGAGCACCAAATAAAGCGGAAATCAAGTCCAACTTAAAAGATCTGTTCTTGTTCGCTAGTTGAAACTGATATCTGATCTATCCTAAAAGTCATTTTAAATCCATTCAATGTATCACGACGTTTCGTGTTTTTCCTAAGGGAGCGTATTATCTCTAGGGATCCAATTATTCACGTGGTTTATAAAACCAATCTACTTCCCGTCATCTCTCCTATGCTTGTCATACTACGCGGAGTTTGATTCTCATTAGATGTTTTCAGTGTATATAAATAAGACCCCTCTCAGTCGCAAAGTAAAGAAATGCAAGATGTTAAACGTCATATGTCCAGGAGGCCTTTGCTTGCAAGCGTGAAACTAGTGTTTCCCTAAGTTGTCAGCATTTCCTAAAGTATAGGAATGTTAGTCGTGTTTTGGGGATTACTACTATAATGGTAGAGCAAAACGACTGGGATTCCGCCTGAATCTTGTCAAATAATAGGTTATTTGCAATCTAAGCTGCTCAAATTTTTTATCATTTTACTCAGCTTAGAATGCTTATTGCAACTATCACCAGATTAAAGCCAGTAACTTCTATGCCTCGTAAAATTCCGTTGACAAACACCACACCGCTAATCTCGGAGTTAGTGTCGACACCAGTACGCATCCAAAGCTTCAAAGGCGTTGTGATTAAGTGTATATCCACCCGAGTTTTTCTCATGGAACAGAAATATATTCATTGTGCTGAATTTTAATATTTTTTCTTTAACCCCTCACAAGACACAGTAAAGAGTTTCTACGCTTTCAAAAAAGTTTTATCAAATTCATTACATCGCTTAGTTGTTCCAAGTAGTATCTTTTCTCTCTACCTTTTCCATTATAATTAAAACCTGATGTCTTCATCTTGTCAATCTTTTTTTACTTTGTATAATAAATGTACTGACTTAATCTTTAAAGAAAGTAAGTGTATATTTTGTTTCTAATATTCAGGTTTGGAAACATCAAGTAGTCTTAACGGTCAAATACAATTCTGATAAGTCCACTATTTTTTAATTGATTGGGTGAAATCTCACCCTCGTACAAAATGTTCTACTGACCAATTGATTCTCTAATTAAAAATGCCTTACAATTTAATGTCTTATAGGCACCCGCTGGCTCATCAAATATCAAAGTCGGTGGTTTGATTGCTGTGTTAGCCACTCTAGACGAGCATTGGCAAGAGGTGGCTGCTTCCGCCGTATTACTATCACAACCATCTACAGCCGACAGTATTCCAAAACAGTCGGAAAAAAACCTCACCATCCCGGAACCACAGTCATACCGCTTTTGTTCAATGGGACCTGCAGTTCGTCTTCTGTTACAATCACACGATATCGATGGATCTCAAATAATTTCTACAGGACCACATGGCCAATTGCTCAAAGGGTAAGATGAACTGGTTTCACGAAATCCACAATTAAACGGAAGAATGTGGAAGGATTTTAAGCCTACAAACAAGTGGTCAACCACCAAACTACTCTACTTTTGCTCTTATTCACTTACTATATTCTCGTTCTTAGGGCTCTAGAAATAGCACAGAGTTTGTAAGAAGATTTATAGTTGTGTTAATATACCATATTTCTATTTGGCTATTGATAACATATACTGCTAGTCTGCGTCGCGAGTGACCTTATTCCTGAGTAATCGAATTGACGGTTTTGGCTCGTAGCGTATTGACTAAAGTATTTGGCGTACAACCAGTTGGTCAAAGGTTCCAAGTTATTAACTTTAATTTCGCTTAGTTAGTTTTCGTCTTTGAGGGCTCCAAATAGCTAAAACCGAGTCATTAATGATCGAAATCCATTTAATACGTGCGTATATTTTTCCGTATAAGTTGTTCTTTTATGTCCCGACCGTAGCTGCTACCTTGACGTGGTGGTCGGGCTTGCCTATCGTGATGACCCAACCGAGCTATATTGGCTGGAACACATGTTCCTGCAGGTTCTACCATGCCAGGCAGGTCGATTGGAGAACGGTAAGACTAAAAGCAGCAACTCAAGGTCTGAGGGCGAAGTCGTACTGCTGACTGTACAGAGGTGTGACAGCAGTAAGGTGTTTCCCTCGGACAACCAGCATCTGCAGCGATGCTGCCTTCTCACAAGGAAGGAAGGGATTAGAAAAGGTTGACCCTAAAAATGTCACACCTCACCTTACCCCACGGATTTCCGTCTCCGGCGTTAAGGCCCTTTGAAGAACGGAGCTAACACATTAAAAACCTCCCACAAAAAGGTCGTGCACAACCGGCCTCAAGCAGTTGTCCCTTGGGCTCTGCGGTCACGCACTCAGGTCGTTAAGACCAACACTAATCCGATTTCCTTTTCAGGTTCCTCAAGAATTACCCTTCCACGGTGTGGGCAACCGGGAAGTGATATCAGCCCTCATACCCGTAACAGCATACGAGACCAAGTTGGTCACATTCAAATCCCTCCTACACCTCCTAATAACTCTTATCTCCACGACTAACCCTTCTTACGTCCCTTTATCACATGGCACCGCTAGTGCGAACGATTTGAGTACGCGGAACGTTATTCATGGTCTCCTGAAACCACGCTCCAAACTACACGTAGAAGCTTTCAACGTCCGAACACTGTGCCAAATAGGACAACAGGCCTCCTTAGCTAGGACTTTAGAATCTCGCTCCGTCGATGTGTGCTGCGTCTCCGAAACGCGCACACAGGATCCGAGTAGTGTCATTCATTTGACCTCACAATGTCAAAGTAACGAACCAACCCGATTTACGATTCGTGTATCTGGAAGCCCTGATGCTGCTTCCCGTGGCCTCGTTGGTGTAGGTTTAGCATTGAGTCCTAGGGCAGAACTAACTCTCTTAGACTGGATCCCAGTAGACAGTCGTTTGTGCGCTGTCCGACTAAACAGAACAGTAAGGACTTGGAAAGATAGGGACACTCGTCGTTGCCTCTTCGTCGTCTCCGCCTACTCTCCCACTGACTGCAGCTCTGATAATGTAAAAGATGAGTTTTACAGAAAGCTTTCCGACCTCCGAAAAGCTAGGCGTTCAGATGTAGTAATAGTGGCTGTTGACTTTAATGCTCAAGTAGGTAATCCAGTATTAGCAGCGAGATTGACTGAGGTCTTAAGTAGAATCTGGGAACTGGACGTAATCCCATCTGACTGGTCTCAATCACTGATTGTGCTAGTCTATAAGAAAAGACAAAAGTCTTGTAACAATCACAGAGGTATTAGTTTTACTAATATAGTGTCTAAAATATTAGCTTCAATATTACTTCGACGTCTAACCAAAGCTCGTGAAGAGCAGACTAGAGAAAACCAGGCTGGTTTTCGACATGGACGTGGTTGTATAGACCAGATATTCACACTACGTCAGGTCCTAGAACATAGACACACATTCAGCCGCCCCACAATAGTCGTATTTCTCGACCTTAAGGCGGCATTGGACTCTGTTGATCGTGAGGTTCTATGGCAGTGTTTGTCACTGAAGGGAGTACCAAAGAAGTACATCAACCTTATTAAGGCTCTCTACTCGAACACAACTGGTCGAGTGAGAGCTTATGGTGAACTGTCATCAGAATTGATTACGTCAAGTTGTGTTCGTCAAGGCTGTCCACTCTCTCCATTCTTGTTTAACTTTGTCGTTGACGTGCTTCTAGAGATAACTCTTTCCACATCTGACTTTCCAGGGCTTGAACTTCTACCGGGAAATTCACTTATTGACTTAGAATATGCCGATGACATAGTTCTATTTAGTGAAGACGCTGACAGAATGCAGAGTCTGCTGACCACTCTAAGCAACAATGCAAGCATGTTCGGCATGCGGTTTTCTCCCTCGAAATGCAAAATGTTACTTCAGGATTGGGTTGCATCGACACCCGAACTAGTGATAGGGAGTGAAGTAGGTTTAATTGGTTCAGTGTTTAATATGTTTTTTAGTGTTTTTATTTTTATTTACTAATTGACCCCTTTCCACGAAAATATCCAACAACTTTTTTATATCTTAATGTCATCACTCTAAATTTTAGTCGACTATTTCATGATAAACTTAGCAACTCATTGTTCTGGAGTTTACGTTGTGAATTCTGAAGTTAACCATTTACGCTGATTCTTCTGACTGCAATCTGTCCGGTTTAAATATCAAACACTGAGGCAGTGATTTCATCTATGAACTTTCAGCCGCTGGCTTGTTGCTTAATATCCAGTTTGCTTTGGTCTACTTAGTAGTATTTCTCCCCCATTCATAAAGTTCAGTGTATAAAACTGGTTCGTTAATCAAGTTAAGCACAAAACTATTTAATTATATTTTTCTTCAGGTTGGTTCCTTTCAAGAAATGTAACAATTCGACTCATTCATGTGTGAAGTTATTAGTATTAATATAATGGGAATTTTAAACCAAATATTCAACCTCGATAAGGTTATTTGTTATGTCCTATGTATTCATTTTACTTGAATATCTTCATCCTAGGGATGTTTTGGCTTACATAGCTAACAACCAAATTAAACCTGTTGTATCCAATCAGGGAAAGCCAATTAATGATATCCCTGTTATGCAAACTGTCTCGTCATCAGCCACTTTCACAGATATCACTTTATTGAATATGAAGAATGTTTTTGCCCAACGTTTGTCGGAATCAAAATTATCTATCCCACATGAATATATTCGTGCAACTACTCGCATAAATCGTTTAAATGAATTGAGAACAGAACTGAAAGTGAATTCGGATATAGATTTTTCTATAAATGATTTCATCATCAAAGCTTGTGCTTTAGGCTTAAGGGTAAGTTTGTTTCTCTGTTTGATATCGAATCTATCTATCTATCTATCTATCTATCTATCTATCTATCTATCTATCTATCTATCTATCTATCTATCTATCTATCTATCTATCTATCTATCTATCTATCTATCTATCTATCTATCTATCTATCTATCTATCTATCTATCTATCTATCTATCTATCTATCTATCTATCTATCTATCTATCTATCTATCTATCTATCTATCTATCTATCTATCTATCTATCTATCTATCTATCTATCTATCTATCTATCTATCTATCTATCTATCTATCTATCTATCTATCTATCTATCTATCTATCTATCTATCTATCTATCTATCTATCTATCTATCTATCTATCTATCTATCTATCTATCTATCTATCTATCTATCTATCTATCTATCTATCTATCTATCTATCTATCTATCTATCTATCTATCTATCTATCTATCTATCTATCTATCTATCTATCTATCTATCTATCTATCTATCTATCTATCTATCTATCTATCTATCTATCTATCTATCTATCTATCTATCTATCTATCTATCTATCTATCTATCTATCTATCTATCTATCTATCTATCTATCTATCTATCTATCTATCTATCTATCTATCTATCTATCTATCTATCTATCTATCTATCTATCTATCTATCTATCTATCTATCTATCTATCTATCTATCTATCTATCTATCTATCTATCTATCTATCTATCTATCTATCTATCTATCTATCTATCTATCTATCTATCTATCTATCTATCTATCTATCTATCTATCTATCTATCTATCTATCTATCTATCTATCTATCTATCTATCTATCTATCTATCTATCTATCTATCTATCTATCTATCTATCTATCTATCTATCTATCTATCTATCTATCTATCTATCTATCTATCTATCTATCTATCTATCTATCTATCTATCTATCTATCTATCTATCTATCTATCTATCTATCTATCTATCTATCTATCTATCTATCTATCTATCTATCTATCTATCTATCTATCTATCTATCTATCTATCTATCTATCTATCTATCTATCTATCTATCTATCTATCTATCTATCTATCTATCTATCTATCTATCTATCTATCTATCTATCTATCTATCATCTATCTATCTATCTATCAATATATATATATATATATAAAAACTAAATCCAATCAACTGTCGGATCTGTGTTATATTACTTTTTTCTCATCTTATTGATATACAAAATGAGAATTTAAATGCATGTATTTGATACTCACTAAATCTAAAGTAGAAAAGATAACATCAACAAGCCCTTATCCCTCGCGAATGTTAGATACAAAATTGCTATTCATAAGCTTACTTTCCTATTTTTTTTATGGACGCGAAACAGTATGAATTTCCTATATATATGTGGTTTCATTCATTGATTATATTGACTTTCGAGATTTTAGGTGTTTAGTATCATGTGTTTGCATTTCCAGAAGGGGCTATCAAACTAGAAAAAATAGCTGTTAAATTCCATTACCTGGTATAGCACTATAATGAGAGCTATATTTGGTTTTTTAGACTTATTATTCAGGTAATAAATTTTACTGTTGAGTTATCCGTGATAACCTGGTCCTTAACAGTTTCAGTCAAAATCTAGCAGGATTCAAAATAGATCAGTTTTCCAATATGAATACCGTATCTGACGGTATCGAACTAGGTATTTTATCTTAATGACATACTTGAATTTGTTATTGTTGTTACGCAATCTTTTCGTTAATGTAAGATAAGTAGTTATGTAATTCTTCAAATTGTTTGAAGAGAAGGTAGATTTCCTTACGGTTCGATTGAATCTGGTCTTGCCCCCAAATGCCCTGATACGGCCGAGAGTGGGGAGAGTCCGCTCTCTCTCTCGAAACGCTCTCACATGGCCATGCGTATATAGCCTCTGCCAGGGAAGTCCTACTCACTGCCTTCTCGTGGCGGGGGTGTTATTTACAAAAATGAGAGGACGAAAAGCGAATGTCCGGAGCTTTAACCGGACGCCAAATCAATGGTGCACATGGGCTCCAGTATCCTGCGGGAACAAATGGCGAATGAACCAATCGTTGGTCACCGGCTACCATGGGACTGCATCTCCTCACGATGCTCCACTGCCTTGTGGGTCAGACGTTCAGGTCGAAGGCTCGGGGTGTGACCCCCTAAGAAAACCACCTGCTTCGGTTTGGGAACCTGGGCAGTATCACAGCCCTCACACAAATCAATTGAGATTTGTGTGGCGCATATGTACTTGGTGCCTCCCTGTATCTATACCTATGTGTTAAAATAAATAATAATAATAGAATCTGGTCTTAAGTGCTTTAAGTATATTTCTAAGGGAAAATATTAGGTGGCAAATTTTGGATCTTCAATTGTTACAACTCATCAGTTAGTTTATATCTTTTTTTATTGTAACATGTTTTATATATTCATCGAAGGCAGAATACAAGGTTAGATGTGACCTACAAACGGGTGTGCGGTGCTTACAACTTAGTTTTTGGGACTTAATTGCATAACGAGATCTGGCTAAAGTTTGCTACACTACTAATTCGTAATCGGGCATACTCAATGTCGAAAAACTACTGTTTTTAGGTGATGCATAAATAGATTACCTATTAAATTCATGTACAAGTTTTTGAAAAAAGCGTTTAACTAGCTTGAACACATTGAATAAACAACATTCAAATACAGTTCTGCAGCTATCTATCCACTTTGGTTTTATTTATGATTAACATCTTGTGGTCATAGTTATGAAAACATCATTTTCTGCCTTTGTTAAGCTTGTTCCAGACTTAAACGCCATTTATGATTCTCAAGCTGAATCTCCCATTTTTCTGAGATCGGTCGATCTAAGTATGGCAGTAGCAACTAATTCAGGATTACTTACGCCAATTTTGCATTCTGTAGATACACTTATTATTTCTGATATTTCAAAGTTGTCGCAACAGTTAGTGCGTAAAGCACGAGATGGTATATTACAACCACATGAACTTGAAGGTGGGAGTTTCACGTAAGTGTCTGTTTAGAGCTTTAATCACATTCATTTCTGGTGTTTTTAGATGTTTTCTAGTAAACCATAATCCGTAAATATTCAATAACCATATGCATCAAAATATAAAGCAGTGTTTATTAATATATTTTATTAAATTTTCATCAACAAAGATGGGAGAGAAAAAACTCATCCAAATGCTGGAAGATTCCAATTATTTTAAAGTAAAACGTGGTTCAATTGCTAAATCATCCAGCGACCACTTATTGGTAAGGTTAACTTATTAAGAGCCAAGTGTTGCAACTCAACTTCGTTTAAAGTCATTAAATTAGTTTTCCAAGTCTTTGTTAAAGATATTAGAAACACTGGGGCTTAACAGCACGAAAGTAGAGTATAAGGAATGACCAACTATGAAATTAATCTCAACCTAGTTTTAGGCAATACTTCCGAAATTCTTTAAAACCATTTGAGTTAAAAGGAAATCTTCCTGCTACGTATCTATGATTGCACTACAATTCATCACTAATTTCGGTACTAAGTACTTCATGAATTGCTTAGATTTTCAACTTTGGGAAGTAATAAAAATAAAACACTATATAGCATTCAACTTTTCGTTGGTATGTATTGGGGAACCCAGAACTTGTAAAGTTTTTGAATAATCTGGTTCACTACTCATGAGCCCTTAGTTTTGTACAGGGTATTCCACGCACGATTTCGTGAATTAGTGTTGAGCAAATTTCGTAAATTTATCCGTTTTTCTTTTCTTAATAGAATCTTTAATCTTGGAATCTACGGTATTCGAGAGTTCACCACTATTGTGAATCATCCTCAAGTGGCTATTTTGGCTGTTGGGAGTGGTTTGCCAGAGGCTTCTATCTCAACATCATATACAGGAAATGAAATAACTTTTTCAACCAATATAACGCTAACATTGTCGATTGACTCACGATGTGTAAGTGAAGTTGTTGCAGGTTCTTTCTTGAAGTATGTTTGTAGTTTGTTAGAAGACTATCCGCATCTTTTACTCGATGGTGATCCTGTTTCTTTGTCTTTGAAGAGTAATAATACTTCCTCTCAACAAGATGAATTTGATAATTTAATGCTTTCGAAAGTAAATACAGATATTATTCAAACCTTGGTTTGATTCACTGATGTGCTGTATCTTTCTATTTCTCCTACTTTAATTTATTCTCTATTTACAGTTATTCTATTTTGAAAGTAGTACACGTCTGTAAAAGCAACTTTCATTGAAAAAGTAGGCTAGTAATGATTTTGGCTGTTAACCTTTGTTATACTGTCTATTTAATTAGAATTCTTATTTGTACTGTCTTGTCATGGATAAATACATAACTAATAAGGCAAAAGTAACTTGCTAACCCTCACGAATAAATAATATTTATTTTTTTAAATAGTACATATGAGTTATTCACTTGGGTATCATTACTGAATTTTATTAGAATAAATGACAGTACGGATGATCATTATCAGGCAGTAAAGAAATCCTTATATTTAGTTTGGAGGTGACTGGTATTGTAGAATAGTCTCGTTCCTAAAATCATAGTCTATAATAATATCACGTATCGTCGATTCTTACATAATGCAAGAAGAAAAGGAAAGTTGCTAGAACTTATCAACTAAGTGGTTTTTACGTAAAATAAGTGACGAAGAAAGTCAACATACTTCCCACTACCTGTCATGTGGTTCGCTCCCGCAGTTACACTCTGGGGAACTGATAAGTCTCGGTCCCTAAGCTATTCTCGAAACCCCCAAGCTAGAACAACACAGTGACTTGAACACGAGAGAAAAGGCGCAAAATTTGCGAGAAGCACTTTACTCTAAATGTTCGTTTTAGTACATAAAATATAGGGTTTTTATAGTATTTTAGATGTCCTTAGGTTTCTCTAAAATTCCGGAATGCTACTAAACATAGTAGCAGTATATTATTCGACCAATCAGAAACTCTACATATGAATTTTCACTTTCTTGATGTTTCTGGCTAAACTTCTCGGGCACGTTGATTGGTTAAAATGCTTCTTAGTGTTTCCTGAGCCTTTCTTGTCTTTTGCGAGAAGTTTTCTGGATCACCCCAACAGGAACTTCACTAATATTCTCATCAATCGAGCTCTCATTTGTAGGTAGTTGAGTCATGTTAGAATGTCCAGCAGTTGTACCCACCTGCCTGTGTCAAAACTTTATCGTACCATTACATACCACGCGTCGTCGTATTGCGAGAATAAAAGCACTCCCCCAAGCTATTGGCCAAACATTGATAATCAAGCAGAAGAATATGTATTAGGATGTTCACTATGTCCAAGTGTACAAAGCTCCAAGAAAAATCCAGCTTCTTTGTTGGTGGATCTCTGCTTACCCATAGTCAAGAGTAAATGTTGACTTTAACCGTCCTATTAATGAACCAGAAAACTAATTTACCTATTTTATGACTCGAAAAATTCATAGGGTTACATACATCACATACATGATCACAAATAGGTTATCTTGATTTGTACATAACTATATCATTTGTGATACATAACTTGAGTGGATTACTATTGGGTCGTAGTAAAAGACATGATAACAATTACACAACAGAAAAACGTGACAATCCACCACAAAGTAGTACTGAATGTTCCCCTTTTCCTAACTAATCGCCCATGTTTTCCTGACAATATCAATCTTACTATCCATCATTGCTTACAAAAAGCTTGTGAATTAAGGCAATATCAAGGCAAACGCACAGTATGTACATATTCCAATAACAGACTGATCAATTGCAGTCTTAAACCTCAGTGGGAAGATACAAGCCAAACAATACCAAGTGAATTTAAACTGCAAGTTGTTCATAGTTTCTATGAGTACGTATGTATTCATTTGCAAAAAATTAAGGGGTTAGCTACTCTATCCATAATTCCTTTCGTTGAATTATCCTTGCGTAGTTCTCTTTTCTTGTCAAGCCAAACGGTTCAGAATAACTAGCACCTATGCTGCACAACTATCATATTACTTCCCGCAAAACCACAACAATCACCCCATATTTTTACATTGATTACCATATGAGCATTCCTAAATTTATAGTTGTCTAATACTAAGTGAATTCTAAACAAGCACAGTACACGGCATACGAGAATGATATTCTTGATTTCTGATAACACTAGAACCATTTAGCCAACATTGAAAATCCAAACGATGAAATCAATTTTTGTTTTGGTTGTTTGAATCTTCCCATTGATGTTGAGGGCTCCAATTGATGTCTCTCTCATCAGTATGTGTGCGTGGTTGCCTTGAGTCACAAGCATTATAAGTAAAGATAGATGGTGCCTAGCAGTATAATCTAGGACGTGCTTTTCGTTATATTTTAGTCTCGTCAGTTGAATGTACATACATCCCAGGGTGTATGTTCACTCCAGGACTCGAACCCAGTACAGTTCGCTTTAAATGCCATCGCGTTATTTACGGACTCCATGTAGCTACTAGCTTGTGCAATGGGGTGAAGTTCAAATTATTTTTTATTGGTTGTGGGAATCTTTCCACTGACGTTTCGGACCGCGATAGATCAGTCACCTATTGGCATATGTGCATCAACTCTAGGATGTAGGTACATCCAGCTGACGAAATTCAAGTAAGACTAAGCGCGCTTTCTGGATTCTGCTACTAGCTACCATCATCTCTGCATAAAATAACGACACATTTTTTGGCGACTCATGTTCTGTTAGGTAGAAAAGTACGGAATTCTGAATACCACATGGATGACATTTGAATTTGTCGCAAAGCCATCGATTTATTTATAATACAGTTATTATGGTATTCTTTTTTAAGAAAAATCTAATGTAGTTTATCTAGAATCCACCAAGTTATGAATTTATTACCGTCAATTTTCCTAAATATTCGAGGACTTACAAAAGTAGACCGTGGAAACAAAGTCGCGAGAAGCAGCCCATACTTCGTTCAGCTTGTAGATGTCCTTACCACATTCAACCATATGCAGTGGATTAGCTTTAAAATAATTCCCTTTTCTTCGTATTTCAATCGCACTAGGGACTTACTAAAGAAATCCCAACGGTGTATGAATTCAGAAGCCAACCTGAAGCGCCGATTGTCGTTTATTATCGGATAGCACAGATCAATAAGCCACGAGTGCACTAAGCGAAATTGAACAGAACAGTTAATGCTAGAGAGTGCAACAAAAAGTCGAATGGGAAAGCGATACGAAGTGACTATTGTTGGGAAAGGAATGAAGGCGTAGAAAGCAAGTGAGCCAGCTCATTTTGATAAAGCAAGATTCAATATTTGTAGTCAGACGAAAACAAGCTACAGACGTAATGAACAGGGTAAGTAATACACACACGGCCGTAGAAAAACAATCAAGGTTAGTCAGCGAACAATTGACAAGGTCAAAATGTGACTTGTACCTTAGCGGCCCGTTAATCTAACTCCGATTTGAAAGGATGAACGAATATGCGTGAATGGGAATCTTTAACTTCGTATATTATACCTAAACTAACCCCGTTTGTACGACAGCGGTATTAAGCCGAATTCAAATTGAGTCGGATTATCTTTTCCGGCGCTGGTTTATTCAGACGGACAGATATTAAGAATGAAAAGTGAAAACAAAAAGCAAAGAGGGATGACAAGTGTGATAACTCCATTTGATAAAGCGTGACTCAATATTTATAAGCCAGAAAGATAAGCTAAAGACATGTGATAAATAGGGTAAGCGATGCATACAATCACTCATATACAAGTATGATAAGCGAATAGTCGACAAGGTGAAAATAGAACTCAAGAATAATAAATAAACTGCTCTGTCCGTAAGCCGGAATAACCTATGTGGGCATTCTGATATCCGGACGGAGAATAAGTTAATAGTAACCGCTAGAATCTATTTGTGGATTATTATTATGTTATATTCTTAGTGAATAACTATTCAGTAATTTTATTATATGTATATTTATATTCCTCTTATCATAAGCTTCCATTTGACCTATTGACTACTATTATACGGTTTACTATCCTTACGTTATTCCCAACTTATTAGTGACAGTCACTTTTTGGCTTGATCCTGTATAATTTTTATTTTTTGTTTTATGATGTAGTCTCGTTTGCTTGTATATAAACCAAGTATGTCTGGGAAATATTGTTCATACAGTGCAGGCTGATATATTAGCATTCTGGACTCAACTGACAGGGCTACGCGAGGATCAATAAGGACTCTAGATTGCTCGTACCGGTCAACGCGTCATTGGCTTGGTACAGTGCTAAGATTGTACAAGTCATGTTCTGACTGACAAATAAGTCACGTGATGACTAACAAGAGCACAAGTCAGCAGATAGAAAACCATGTAAACACCTTCTGAACAAAAGTTGGATTCTATAAATTTCGAGCTAAAGCCAGTAATGTTTTTTTCTGTAAAAAGGATACAATATGTCTATGAAAATTACATTGAGGCTCCATGTTTCTGTAACAGAAATTTCAAGGGAACGTCGGATCGAAAACATACCGTCAAAATTAGGAAAAAAAATGGAGTGTCAGTTTTGCATACTCGATAACATAACAGGCTTGAAATGTTACTATGTAATATACATATTATACTTATATTTTGTTACTTGAGACAATTTTTATCAGTTGAATTGATCTATAATATGAAGTATCGAGTAGATGCGGTATCATTGAAAAACCCTCTAACATCTAACACCATGCACAATACATACAAAAAATCTGTACTATTAGTTGAATTTGGCAAGGTTGCCTAATACCATGATTTGCCATCCATAAAATTTAGGAAATTTTATCAACGAAGTACATTGTGACGTGATTGGTTTCATCTTACTGTGTGATGATATACAACATATTCAAATGTTACTCAATGTATACCACTGATAAGCAAGTGTCTAAACAATAGTAGGCACTTGTATCTGTAGTAAATACTGATGTAGATCGTCGTTTATAAATTGATACTAATCTTTGTCCAACTAGTTTACATTGATTACAATATTACTATTTTTGAGTAAGACAAAATCTTTTATAATATAAAGTAATGTAGTGTGGTTGGAGAAGCTGGAGGTCGTTTTCGAAATAAAGGGGTTGAACTCAAAACACTGACTTCGGTAACGTAGATGCAACTAACACTAAACAGCTGCCCTACTTATTATAGCTGGTATATATTAAGATCTGAAACCGATAAGTCACGATATGATTGTTTTGTGAACATTTTAATCGTTTGTTAAAGCCACGAAAACGTATAAGTAATTGAGCGAGACTGGTGACTTTGGTTAACTATAATTGAAGCAATAAGCTGCTCAAAAATGTTGTAAACCAACCTCCTAACAAGAATAGGACGATAAAATAATAATTGTCTATGTAGACATCAGGAGCAGACCACCTTTAGCCTCACCGTCAAGCTTTATTTGTGATAGTTA